AGTAAAGGTTGAACCTTCCCGCCAATTCTGCGACTGCCAAGTTGGTCGGTCACTAGTGTTGATCTAGAAGCTTGATCTCAGATGGTGTACAATAGAGAACCATGACCCAGTAAGATACAGCTATCAGATTATTAGCAAGTAAAGCACCCAGCACAGTGCTTTCAGACATTATAAATTTGTATCTAGATCTCGAACCAATGTATTGGAGACCAATAAAGTTAGTGACCACTGTTTAGGCGTATCCAATTAGTTCATCCCAATTTGTAGCAGGTGCTCTTGAGGCCTACCTTCATTTCCGTGTGATTGATCATAGGATCTAAACAAATAATAGGTAGGTTGCTGGAGCCACGGGTCTATGAGCTATTTTTATTCCCACAAAGAACTGACTTTTGCTTTTGGAACAATTCTTTGTTTTACATGTGTCAGTTTATTTTTCTGCACATTATATTTTGTTGATGATTAATATATTAAATAGGTGTAAAATGACACCCAGTGAACTGTTAATGACCTACCCTCCCATGAGGTTTATAGCAATCCATTATATCAAAGACTTTAAGAAATGAACAGGGAGGTCCACCTTCTTACAGGCATAAATTTATGGCCACTGGTTATCTTCTTGCATTTGACCAAGAAAATATATATTTGTTTTAACTAGAAAAATTGTGTTGAATTGTGAATAAAGCAATATTAACTATGAAGGGCATTCTGTATATAATGCCTCCTATTTTTTTTGTAATATGTAACATCTGAGCCTGATGGTGGTGGTGTAGTAAAGGTTGAACCTTCCCGCCAATGTACTGTTAGTTTGGTTGTTGTGCGACAGATAGCGACAGCAGATCAGTCTACCAAAATGGCGTCTGACATAGAAGTGGGTACGAAACAGAGATGTGTTATTGAATTTCTCACTGCCAAAAAAATTGCACCCACTGACATCCATCAACGCTTGCTAAAGGTGTATGGAGATGATACAGTGGATGTCAGCACAGTGAGGCGGTGGGTAGTGCATTTCAACAGTGGTGAAAGTGAAGTGCACGACAAGCCATGCCCTGGGCATCCCTGCTCAGCTGCCACTCCTCACAATGAACAGCGCCTCAATCAGCTCATCCATACAGATCGGCGGATAACGACTAGGGAACTGTGTGCACGGCTTAATATCAGCTGTAATGCATTGGAAACGATGTTGGGGAAGCTGGATTATCGCAAAGTGTGTTCCAGGCGGGTCTTGCGGATGCTTACACAGGACCACAAAACTCATCGAATTGAAGTCTGTCAGGACCTGTTGCGCCAGTTTGAGGCTGAAGGTGACAAGTTTCTGGACAGCATCGTCACTGGAGATGAGACATGGTGTCACCACTATGAGCCAGAATCCAAAAGACAGTCCATGGAGTCGCGACATCCGGATTACCCAAGAAAAAAGAAGTACAAGACACAGCCATCGGCAGGGAAAGTGATGTGCATGGTCTTTTGAGATAGGCGGGGTGTGATTTTCTTGGATTTCCTGGAGCCTGGTGAGACTGTAAATTCTGAACAATACAAGACGACGCTGACTAAGCCGAAAGCCCGCATTTCCCGAGTCAGGCCAGAGAAGCAGACAACCTTTCACTTGTAACACGATAATGCTAGATCCCATACCAGTTTGGCGACCACCATGCACATTGCAAAGTTTGGCTGGACTGTCCTACCACATCCACCTTATAGCCCCGATTTAACACCTTCAGACTGCCATATCTTTGGGCCTATGAAAGATGGACTGTGTGGGCAATGTTTTCCAGACAACGATGCTGTCATTGCAGCTGTAAGAAAGTGGCTAGCCTCTGCTGGCGCAGACTTTTACGGGTGCGGCATACAGGCTCTTGTTCATTGCTGGCAAAAGTGCATAATGAATAGTGGTGCTTATGTGGAAAAATAACTGTAAGTAGCTGAAATCTTGCTCTATTTAACTGTGTTATTATGCTTTCTGTATCTGTTGTAGTTTTCACTAAAAAAATAGGAGGAATTATATATGGAATGCTCCTCGTATATAACTAGAGCATGAGCTGTAAGTTCAGACCAAATTGGAACTAGGAGTACAGAAGAATTAGAAGTCAGCCTGTGAAGACTTAACTTGTGATTAGAAGATTTTATTTATGTATAATATTTGGAGTGTGTGATTCAGTGAGAGACTTATAGTTCTGTATGATAAATCTGTGAAGACTAGTGCAAATAGACTGAAGAGATTAGTGTGGAGTGATTGCAAATTGTGTAAAGCAGCAAATGTGTAATAATCAATTGTAGTTATGACCTGTGGGTTGTTAATAAATCCAATTACTGATCTGATCCCCATCTTTGGTCACTGTGACACATGACAACTGGTGTTAGAATTGGTAGAGATTGGATCAGATTGATGAAATTATTGGATTTACAATTTCATTGGATAGCATATCACCACATTAGGGAAACACAACAGATGATGGAACTCTTGTTGGCTGGCCAAGAACAAATGATGACCAATAGAAAAGCCAACCAAGAAAGGATGGAGAGGCAGATAGGATCACTAGTCTCCATAATGGAGGCCACCAGAAAAACTGACAGAGATGAAATGAACAAGAAATAAGAGCTGGCTCAAACACATTGAAGAAATAATGGAAATACAGTTTGCTTCTCTAGCTGCCAAACTGGGTGGCTGACTGAGAAGCGAACAAGACCACGGGTTTGAAGGCAATTCCTGAGGAAATGGAGTCTTGAGTTGGAATGTCGGGAGGTCCATAAGGAACATGCTTCAGGGAAACCTGTTGGAGGACTAAGGAAGCGACTTAGGGGCCAGAAGCTAGCTGCAGGGCAACGCAGAGAGCCAAAGTAACTAACCTGAGGAAATTGTGGATCCTGGAGGAGATTGACTGCAGCCTCCAGGAAGGTATCACATCATGCAGCAGTGGCACGACACAACGGAAACGTCTTTCGGAAATTCTGGACCCAGGGAAATTGTGGACCATGGAAGGAATTGGCTACAGATGGCAGGGAGATGACCCATTGTTCAGAAGTGGCACAATGCAGGAAACACGAGCTTCAGAGATGAGGAAAAGACAATATTGCATTGAGAACCCTCAGGGACAAACATCCAGGATGATATGCTGGAAGGGCCCAGAATGCAAAATCAGTCTAAAGGACCCAGACACAAGACGGCAGCTGCGTCTTTAAGATTGAGACGACATCAGATAGCTTTGACAGGAAGGCTTTCAGACTTTAGTTCGTGAAGCAAGTAGCCGGGATGTCCACTGGCTTGCAGCAAATCAGGAACTGGACAGTATGGAGGAGTTGATCCCCTCCAAAAAAGAAAAGAGAATCCTACTAGCACTGTTAGCGCAAGAAGAGCCGGATATGTGGGACCACCAGCCTTTCCAGGTAATTTTGCCCCCACTGGTTTTAAAAAGGAAGAAAAACTTTGGATTATGGTGAGAACCTAGACTAACTGGAACCTTATAAGGGAGTTCCTCAGGATGAGCAACCTTAAGGTGGAAACGGTGGTAGCAGTTGGAGAGTAGTCACTGGGAAAAAGGAAAACAAGTAATTGGAAGGAAGGCAAGATGAAACTAAGCAGAAATCTCAGAAAAGAGGAACAGTGATACACCGTTAGGCTACTCAGGATGAGCAGCTTTAAGGAGGGAGCAATGTAATGAATTTGGTCAACATGTTGCCAGGCAACAGCTCTGCAAATACAGTCCAACATGCAACAACAGAGGAAGCTGTGTTTTCTATAGATCTGACCAACGTGCTAGTAGACTGGCTGAATTGTGATCATATGACATGTGTTTCCTGTGATGCATGTCCATTCCGCGGCTATATAACGAGAGCCATGAACTATAAGTTAAGAGAGAATTGGAACTAGGAGTAAAGAAGAATTAGAAGTCTGCCTATGAAGACTTAATATGTGAATAGAAGATTTTATTTATGCGTAATATTTGAAGTGTGTAATTCAGTGAGACCTAATAGTTCTTGTGTGATAAATCCATGAAGACTAGTGCAGATAGACTGAAGAGATTAGTGTGGAGTGGTTGTAAATTGTGTAAAGCAGCAATAGTGTAATAATTAATTGTAGTTACGATCTGTATGTTAATAAATCCAATTACCAATCTGAACCCAATATATATATATATACAATATATGTAACAGGATGCTTCAATATAATATTCTGAACCCAATCTTTAATCACTGTGACGCTTGACAATATTTATGTATATTAATAATAACAACAGTATTATAATGGTTATATTATGATGAAGTCAATTTGAATCCAGCAAAGAAGGATGATTGCATTGGGTTGAGGCTGGCCAAGACACTTTGCAGCACTATCCCTGATCACCTTTCCGCTTTTATTCATTGATCTACCTTAGATTTGTTTATTGCATAATATCAGCCAACTGTGGACACACTCGCCTGTAGCTAGAGTGTCTGGCAGTTTCCATTTCTCACTTCATTGCATCATTTTCTTCCACCTTCTTAGGGTAGATGTATTTGTAGCAGCTTGCTTTAGCTTAGATATGATTAAGGGCAAGTAAGGACAAGAAAATGAAATGTGGAGATGGCATAATCAAGAAGCAGTGTGCTGTGAGGTCTTCAGATTACAAGTGTTGTTGGGGCAGTGAGGTCTGAGTCTCTGAGAATGAAATAGGAGAGCAGTATATGCTTGCATGTTTGTGTACCAAGCTATCATAATGTGGTTGCAAACTCACGTGTTTGTGAGGCCAAGGGGGTTCAAATGTAGGGTAGGCATACATGAGATGCATCTGGAATTTGTCAATTTTTTGAATGATTTAAGTTGCTAATGTGAAGGTTTCAGTGTATAATATAACCTCCAATTTTGAATGAAAATAAAAGCAAAAAGTCCTTGACTGAGTATGGTGTGATATGGCTTATACCCGGAAGACCAACCTAGAATTTGTTGTTGTGTACTATATAGTGTTTGCAGATAAATATGAGAATGCCTATGTGTGTATGAAGTGAGGTGCTGTTCATGTGTACAGGAACAGACAGTCTCGGGCTGGAGGTGCAGAATGTGGTGGACATCTCAGACCAAGTAAACTGTGAACTGGTTATGCGTATATCAAGCAACATCAAAAATGGAGATGACTTCTATACTGACTTGAATGGCTTGCAGGTGAAATGTGTAGCTGTGTATCTTATTATTTTCAAGTAAGAAGAGAGTGTCAATATGAAGAAATAATAGCCCCACAAAAATGAAATCTGGGAATCGGAAATCATAGAAAAATACAGCATAACAGAATAATATTTTGTTCTTTTATCTTGTTAACTGATAAATGATACATACAGTATTGTCATACCCAATTTATAAGATATATATAAGATTTGAGGTTCCCATGGTAGTGACTATGATGAGTATTATGTTCTGGGATGTGATTCCATGTAGTCTGATAGAAGTTTACCAGCATTTTGGAAAAATGTGCTGCCTCCATTTTGCTTGCTTGTGTGATGTACTGTTCAGCCCTGAAGATGGAGGAAGTATGGTTCTTTGAAACATTAGTAAACTTCTGCTAGATTAAATGGTATCATACAACAGAAGATAATATTCTTAATACAGTGCATGTCATAATTGTTATTATTGTGATGATGTTACAGATCATTCGACGGAAGCGTTTCTTTAAGCTCCCATTGCAGGCAAATTATTATCCTCTTCCAACCATGGCCTTCATTCAGGATCAAGCATTTCGTTTCACTGTTGTCACTGCACAGCCACTTGGTGTAGGTTCACTTAAGGAGGGCCAAATAGAGGTGAGTCATTTAGATAAATTACTTTACATCAAACCCAGAGACACTCGATGTAACTTACCGAAAGAAGTGTAATCACTTCTTTGCCTGTTATTTGCATTATTCTTATTGAATTTGTCTTTGGTGTATTGTTTTCTATGTGTTATTCCAACAGCAACTGAGTTATTTCATTTAGGTACACCAGTGTGTGAATTTTGTATTTATTGTGCTTTGTTTCCTGTTCATTAAATAACATTTTGTTCCATTATAGAGGGAGGAGTAATTGACAGTGTTACACATCAGATTTGAGTATGATGATTTAGTGGTGTTAAATTTTATTACACACATCGAATACTTTACTTTTATTAATGTATTTCTGTGTTTTCGATTTAAATTTCATAATCAATCCAGACATTTTTGTGTACAGAAATGGCTTGCAGCCATTGTAAACTTCAAAACTTTTAACTCTCTCTTTTATTGGTATTCAACTGTGTGTGTGCATGTGTGTTATGTGCCCATTCAGGTGATGCAGGATCGTCGTTTAAATCAGGATGACAACCGAGGACTGGGGCAAGGTGTGACAGACAATAAACCCTTTCCTGCCACGTTCAGACTGATACTTGAACAACGCCAGCCAAGTTGTCAGGTATGTAATATACTGTCACATGTAGGGCGATGCATGTGACATAATTAACGGGTTCTAGTTCAGATGATTGGATTTATTGGCACATTGGTTACAATCTCTCTTAATTACAATTAATACAGTGCTATCACTGATTTACACAGTTTACCGTTGCACATGCATTAGGATTTTCCATCTTCGTTAGTCATCTCCTGGCCATGTATCTCAACACAGAAACTAGCACTTCATCATTAAATCGTTATAAAGTCTTCTTACCATTTCTTATTCAATCATCTGGGAACCTTGGAACTCAACTAAAAGCTCTCCTGGACTCTTCCAGCCTATGACTGCCCACAAACGACTTTTGTTTTCCCCTATGAACCCTCGGCGTGGACCTACAGAAAACATGCCATGTGGTTGCTATCTACTGCTGTGTGATATCACTGCCTATGTGGAAGTGTGTGTACTGAGCCATTGCCTAGAAACAGGTTGCATAACCCCATTGTTCTGTTACAAGCTTTTATTATTTAGCAACAGCTGTTCCTGTGGCTAAGCAGTTCTTGCGTGGAATAAATATGCCACATTGCTCCCTCCTTAATGCTGTTCATGAATAATAGCCTACAGGCATACTGCCTGTTTTTCCTTTCCAAGAGTTCCTGCTCATGGTGTTTTCCTGTGGTTTGCAGCTACTATTCTCCAACCACTACCCTGCTCCCTCCTTAAGGCTGCTCATCCCAACCAGACTCCAGATTGGGTTCCAGTCAGTCCAGGTTCTCAGCAACATCCAAAGGTTTGTTCATTTTTCTCTTTCCCACAGGGTGCTATAACTCCTGGAGTGGCTGGTGCTCCTATATCTCTAGCTCTTACTCTGTATGCAGCCTCTTTTTCTGCTTCGGAGGGTGCCGACCTGTCCACAATGTCCAGCCCATCATTCTTTGTAAGCCACTGGATGTTCTGACTACTTGTTTCAAGATCTTCCCTCTGAAAATCTCATATAGAGTCTTCTTGACCATTCCTCTGCTTTCCAGATGTAATTGCTGTCCTGAGCTCCACCCTTTGATGCCATTTGTGGTTGATCTCTCCTTCCTCAGACATAGCAACTGCCTGCCGCCTTGTAGCTACTTTCTTAGGCCTCGGTCCCTTATGCCATTGTTGCATTCCAGGCCTTTCCAACATCTCTTCCCGGATGTCTGTCCTTTCCAGGTTTCTTGTACCAAATTGTCCTCATATCTCTTGTGATCATGTCCCCAGCATTGTGCCACTCTTACATGGTGGGTCATCTCTCTGCAGGCGACAGCCAATTCCTTCCGCAATCCACAATGTCCCTGGGTCAGAATTTTCCTGAAGAGATTTCCCTTGCACCATGACACCACTGCACAATGGGACACCTTCCTGCAGGCAGCAGCCAACTTCCTCTGGGATCCACAATCTCCTCGCTCATTTCTTTTGGCTCTCCATATTGACCTGCAGCTAGATGTTGGTCCCTGTACTGCTTTTCCAACCTTTAACCAGTTTCACTGCAGAATCTTCCTTAGGGACCTCCTGATGTTCTGACTCAGATTCCATTTCCTCTGGTTTGCCATTTTGTGGCTTCCATCTTTTCCAACATGGCTATCTTGCAATCAGTTGCCTCCATCTTCTCTGGATTGACCTCCGTTGCTTCTTGACAGGCTGTCTTCTCGTTTTGGCATGCCCTCAGGGAGTGAATTGCAACATCTTCACCTGGATTCTTGTGCTGCTTTGCTGCCTTCTTTTCTCATGGATTTGGCTCCATTTTCTCTGGATTGACCTCCATCGCTTCTTGGCCGGTCGTCCTCTCTTTTCATCTGTCCTTCATTTGTACTATAATCTCACTTAGAATTGTGTCCTCCTTCTCTTGGATGATATCCAGCTTGCTTTCTATCCTTTGTTGGTTGGTTCTCATCATTTCTTGCATAAGCTGTCAGTTAGCACCTGCTTTTGCTTGGATGGCTTGGTTGGTTTTTGTGTCTTCCTTTATTTCCTTTAGATTGGCATCCATCTTCTGTTGATGTTCCATTTCAGGTTCCAGTCTCAACCGGTTGACGTTTGTCTTGTTGTGAATGGCTTCCAGCCTTGCCGCCACTTCGCATTTGGTTTTCCTCTTGGCCATCCTCTTCTCAAAGTTAGCTTTTTCTTTTTTGGTTGGCTTCTCACTCAGCCATCATCATCTCTTTGTAGGCTCTTCTTTCAGCCTCCCTTCCCTCCTCCATCATTTCATTAAAGGCTTTCATGTCTGCTCTCCTCTTTTCTCAGTTGGCGTGTAACTTGTCTTGTCTGGCTTTTATATCCTCTTCCGTTTTGGCCCACAGGCAGGTCCACAGTGGTGGACCCGTAGTGCGTAGTGGACATGCACAGTCAGCATTTCTGTTATTTGTTGCCTTGTTTGTTCCATTTTGTGGTATGACTACCCAATTCAATCTTTAATCCAATGCAATGTAACTTCTCCCACAGTTTCCAGTTGTCACATGTTTATGGCTGTGTGATTACTGACACCAAATTGTCATGTATTTTACCATCATAATCACTTTTGATGACTCCAATACAATCTGAACCACCTACTTCTGACACCAAAATATCACATGTAGGAGGGTACACATGACAAAATTAACGGGTTCTAGCTCGAATTATTGCATATATTGGCATGTCAGTTACAGTCTCTCTTAATTACAATTAATACAGTGCTATTGCTGATTTACACAATTTACAGTTCGCCATTACACACGCACTAGGATTCTCCAGCTTCACTAGTTGTCTCTTGGCCACTTATCTCAACACAGAAACTAGCACTTCAAATCACTATGAAGTCTTCTTGCCATTTCTTGTTCAATTATTCTGGAACCTCGGAGCCCAACTAAAAACTGTCCTGGACTCCTCCAGCCTACAACTGCCTGCAAACAACCTTTGTTGTCCCCTATAAACACTCAGCACAGACCTACAAAAACATGTCACGTGGTCACTGTCCACTCTTGTGTGATGTCACTGTATGCATGGAAGCATGTTTACTGAGCCGTTGCCTAGAAACAGGTTGCATAACCATGTTGTGTCATTGCGAGTATGTATTACTTAGCAATGGCTGTTCCTGTGAGTTAGCAGTTCTTGCATGAAGCAAATACACAACAGCACATTCAAATTTCAAGAGTTCATTTGAAATCATACAGAAGGATGCCTTCTTGAAACATACAAAAATGTAAGTTTTGTAAATCAGAAGCACTTTTCCCATTAATGTAAAGCTAAGAATTTGAGATGTATTCCTCATCACTGGACCTTGGTCCTATGTACATAAGAATGTTTGTTAATACTAGACTTGTTAGAAGAATATCTTTTGTCTTCATTGATGAGGTCCACCACCTAATCTGTATCATTGCATATTCTTTCACATTAATATTATATAGATTTACATGTACACTCAACTCTCGATTATCTGGGGACTGTTAAACCGGTTTGCAGCTTAACTGGGGTTACCGGGCCTTTTTTGAGGCTTATATGTTGTTTAATATTCATTCACTTTTGTTTCACATGGTGAGTTGTAACACTATCTTTGCACTAGTGTGAACCGAACTCTGCATTTTTTGGTCCTGTTATGCTAACACAATGTTCTAGACTAGGGGTGAAAGAATGCAAGGATTTGTGGAAAGTTTCAAGGACAGATACACCGCCCCAGTTAGTCTCTTTGTATTGAACTTCAAGTGCATTAGCAAAATGTCAGGGTGTAAAAGGAAGCGTGTTGTGTTAAGTATTCAACAGAAACTTGAAATTGTCAATCAGTTTGGAATATAAGAGAGTGGTTTGACTGTGACTCGTGTGAGCCAGCCTTCAAAATGTTAAGCAGTGACGAAATCGTAAGTTCAGTGGGGGTGCAGCCAGAAGAGCAGGAAGAAAGTGAAAATGAGGAAGAGGTGGACAGTGCTGCTAGTAAGAAAATATCACATGGTGCTGCTCTTAATCATTTGGAATCCTTACTAGACTATCTTGAGAGAGTGAAGAGAACAGTTTATTAAGTGACAAGCTAATATGTAATATGTAATGAGATTATAGAATTTCAAAGGACAGGACGTTATGATTTGATGTACATGAAGACAAAAGAACTAGGATGGAAAGGGAACCATGGGAT